ATTCCCGAAACTTCCTTATGGTTCATCGGCTGAACATATTAATTATTACAAACTACACGTAGGTTCACGACAGATTCAAGGCTACATAGGATTAAGTAAATTGTTTAGGTACACGGTAGGCACAAGCGTTGCGACATATCGATATATGGTCTAACGATCCTGGCATTGGAAGGGTACATTAATGGCTGGGATCTATAAACGAGGATTTATGATAATGGACTGCAGCGGCGGGGGCGGGCCTCGAGCTCCGCTCACTGGCTGATCGCCTCGGGCCACGGCCATTCTGCCTCCCAATTTCTGTAAATTAAGCCACCATCCGACGCATCCAAGTCCGGCAGAGGGCACCAGTGACGTCATAGGTCTCGTGCTGCCGTCACCGTTATCTGTAACACCGCGCACTGGCCATCTATCGGGCCGCTCTAAATTACGTGTCGCCGGCTCGAGGAGCCGGAAAACGGCGCCGCCGGCCAATCACGACGCGTTTATTTGACGTTCGCGGATGTCGTGACAAATCCGGCTCGATCCGTGCCGTCATTGTCGAACGAGATCGTGTGTCATCGGGTATTGTCGGCGTCGGCGCGCGGGGCTTTGTTGCGAGAGGTGCAGCCGCCGGGTGGCTCGACACCGCATCCGCGCTGGCGCCTTCTGGCCGGCGATATTGCGTTCTCGATCGAGATCTGCCCACGGTCGGAGCTGCGGCGGTCCTCTGCGTCAACAGGCCGGCGCCGGCCGTTATTGGCGCCACTGTCACTCAGGTGGCATGGAATCGTCACTAATATTATGCAAATACCCCGGGCAAACAGACAAAGTTGACGGCTGCCGCCCGGTATAAGCGCGAAATAGCGGTATTAAAGCCACCAGGGAGTTTGCCATGCAGATCGGGGGAAGGGACTCAATCACTGGCGAAAACTGCCCGTCGCCCTCCCCCACCTCTCATGCAGAGGGCTGGTTGGCTAGACATGACCGGCGATGAACCCGATGTGTCGTGGCCACAGCACGCTACCTCAGAGCCCAGTCTGGGAGGGAGACACCCACCTCCCCCGGCGATGGGCAGTATCCGCTGGCCGACCTGACCGTACGATAATCGCACGGAAATGTCGCCCACTGATGACGGAAATGGCAGCCAGAGCTTTGCCAACGCATCCGGCACAGACTAAACCTTGCTGTGAACGAATTCTTAACTGGGTAATGTGACACAATCGAGCATGTATTAGCCGGCGTGCCAGACGCTTTATTTGTTTTGTATTCATTTGTACTCGGTTAGGCCATATGGTTTTTTGCATCAGTTTTTATCGCGGTACTAAGCATATAACTGATGGTGGCACAGGTGGTCAAAAACCAGTCCTAATTAAAAGGCCTTGAACCAGAGAACAGCCTGCTGGCAATGATATATTAACCGGTGATATATTAACTCTCATCACGTCATCTGCTCGAAAACATCTGGATTTGCTCATAGCTAAAACGGTTCTGCAAGATTTTATAACATATACTGGAGTGAAGCTACTGAAGCCACTGGATTAGACAATGGCGCCGAGGACATACTAAGGACTAAGTAGGCTCTCGGCCCGCGGTTTAAACTAAATCCTTAGTACAATTTCTAGTACCAGCTCTTCGGTGTTGCATCTGGCGAGCACCCATACACTAGTTCCTAATGAACCTTTTGTGGCCACTGCGCGGTCTGTGAGGCTGTTGGGCCGCCGGGGAGGGTGCTGAAAACGGCCGTGGAGAGTGCTGACAGCGGCCGGGGAGGGTGCTGACGCCGGCCACGCGCTGCCCACAGGTCCGCCTCAGGTGCTGCGGCGCCAGCAGCCGGCCAAGGTGATGGCAGAGCAGGGTGGCGAGGCGGTGCTGGAGGTGGCGCTCTGTAGCGACCCACTGCCCACGCTGGCCAACTGGCACTGGGGCAGCCTGCAGCTGCAGGCTGGCCAGAGCAAGGGGCGCTTCGTCGCCGAGGAGATCACTCAGGTGAGACGCTGGTGACGGCCGACCGCCGACCTCCGGCGCCGTGCCAGTCTCGTTCAGGCCACCACGTGCAAGGCTCTTCTTAATACTCTGAAAGTACAGGGTTGAAATGGCCTAGATAGTGCAACATAATTAATGCAAATCAACTTCATATTCCTTCCATCTCAGCGACTTGTCGGGTAAATCAGTCAGAGTACCTCCCTTCTTCAGGATGTAGATAGGATGCATCCATGTGCAATATAACGCATCCGTATGCAACATACGTGCATTTGCACCTGGTGAGTGCAGTAGCTGTAAGTGAACCCATTGAACCACGCCCACACTCGTTCTTGCCTCTCTCTTCTCCAGCAGAGTTTCGGAATGTCTGACTGAATGACTGCTCGTGCTTCTGTCCTCAAGTTCGGCGCCGAGCCGACTGGGCAATTGAGCGCGACGAACGACGACTGTAATAACTCGTCGGTCCTGATGCCCGACGCCCGCTCGCGCTAACGAACCATTAAAGTTGCCGCCGACTAATGACGTCACATCGGCGCGACGCCGGCGACGAGCTCTTTGTTTCCGGACGGCGGCGTCCGCCGCTCGCCGCCCGTCCGCGCGCGTCATCAATAACACTCGGCCGCGTCGGCACGGCGCTCTCTCTCGGCGACACCGCCATCGGATAGATCGGGCCGTTTTGACGGATTTCCGGGCGGGTCGGGCGCGGACCGCCGAGTTCCGCGTCGTCAGTCATCCCTCCCCAGAGCCGTGACCGGCGGCGTTCTCGGGCTGCTGAGTCCCGCTCGTCAGTCACCCGGTGGAGAGGGCGGTCGGGGGTGTCCTCGGGCCGCTGAGTCCCGCTCGTCAGTCACCTCGGTGGAGAGGCCGGTCGGGGGTGTCCTCGGGCCGCTGAGTCCCGCTCGTCAGTCACCCCGGTGGAGAGGCCGGTCGGGGGTGTCCTCGGGCCGCTGAGTCCCGCTCGTCAGTCACCGGTGGAGGGGTCGGTCAGGGGTGTCCTCGGGCTGCTGAGTCCCGCTCGTCAGTCACCTCGGTGGAGAGGCCGGTCAGGGGTGCCCTCGGGCCGCTGAGTCCCGCTCGTCAGTCACCCCGGTGGAGAGGCCGGTCGGGGGTGTCCTCGGGCTGCTGAGTCCCGCTCGTCAGTCTCCCCGGTGGAGGGGCCGGTCGGGGGTGTCCTGGGCTGCTGAGTCCCGCTTGTCAGTCACCCCGGTGGAGGGGCCGGTCGGGGGTGTCCTCGGGCCGCTGAGTCCCGCTCGTCAGTCACCTCGGTGGAGAGGTCGGTCGGGGGTGTCCTCGGGCTGCTGAGTCCCGCTCGTCAGTCACCCCGGTGGAGGGGCCGGTCGGGGGTGTCCTCGGGCCGCTGAGTCCCGTTGTCAGTCACCCCGGTGGAGGGGCCGGTCAGGGGTGCCCTCGGGCCGCTGAGTCCCGCTCGTCAGTCACCCCGGTGGAGGGGCCGGTCGGGGGTGTCCTCGGGCTGCTGAGTCCCGCTCGTCAGTCACCCCGGTGGAGGGGCCGGTCGGGGGTGTCCTCGGGCCGCTGAGTCCCGCTCGTCAGTCACCCCGGTGGAGAGGCCGGTCAGGGGTGCCCTCGGGCCGCTGAGTCCCGCTCGTCAGTCACCCCGGTGGAGGGGCCGGTCAGGGGTGCCCTCGGGCCGCTGAGTCCCGCTCGTCAGTCACCCCGGTGGAGGGGCCGGTCAGGGGTGTCCTCGGGCCCGGCCGTGTCGACCGGCGGCTGACCCCACCGATGGCCCCCGCAGGATACGACAGAAGACTGCTACCGGGCGCGGCTGCGGGTGCTGCAGGTGACGGCCGCCGATGAGCGCGACTATTACCTCAAGGTGCAGAACGACCGCGGCTCTGACCAGTACGGCCTGGCGCTGCGGGTCAAAGGTGAGCGCGGCGCCGGCGGCCGGAGTTGTTGCGCCCCGGCCAGGGCACGGTGGCCAGCAGAGAACGGCTCTTCTCTGAGGCTCCCTGGTCACTTCAGCGACTGATGCCGCTCAGCCGCTCTGACGACATCTGATAGTCGTGTGCCTTGTTGAGATGCCCTTAGTGAGCAGTGCGTGAGAGAACAGCTGTAAGGTAACCAAAAACATGCGTTACGTCTGAAAAAACGTCTAAATTTAAACAATTTGCATATGTTGTTAGGCATATTTCCCTGCATTGATACTAACCGACATGCCGACCACACTGAGATACGCTGTAATGACTGCCACGTGCTGACCTCGGTAATCGCTGCATGCGTATCGGAGGGTTATCGGAGAGCATGTCTTCGAAGGCCCGTCAAATTGTAATTCGCTTGTTCCACGGGCCTAATGGTACCTGCTATCAGCGCTCGTCACAAAACAGAACGCCCGCATGTGAAGAGCAAAAACTGTTTAACGAAATGCATGTCTGTGCATACCTCTACATTATTTGTGCCAACAATTTGATTTGAATATTCATCTCGGTGTTTGGCATTGACGGCGCTTAGTTTGTTTCGCTTATTTTAAACGTAAGTTTGAAGAAATATCTAAGCTCTCTACCTCTTATGGAAGTCCGTAGACTTAAACGTGCATAAATGCTTTTGAACGGGATAAACCACGTCATCGAATGTTCATTGGTTTATCGCGTCTCCGTGTCTCGCTGGCTTGACCCGTACCCTTCTGCGCTTGCAATGGTATGGGGTCAGGCCATGCACGGGTATTTCTTTCCCCCCACCAGTCCTTTCTGCGTCTGCTCGGCGGCTGTATGGCCCCGTCCAGCGCCGGTGTGGCCTCCTGTCAGGGATGTGGTTTCCTGTTCAGTAAGAGGTGTACCAACGCGCCAACTTTGAGAAAAAAAAATGGATCAAGTCCGTGGAGAAACACGTTTTTTTGTGACATTTTGGTTACGTTCAGCTATTTTCCTGCTCTGCCCCGAACTTGCTCGCGAAACCTGACAGACCTGTCTACGGTGTGGGTTCCCCACCTCTCTCCGTCTGGGCTGTCGCGTGGCTCGCCTGTGCTGCCGCCGGCGGCCGTCCCGGCAGACAGTAGGCGCTGATGGGCTCTCCCATCCGTCTGTGGCTGTCCGCGTGGCTCGCCTGTGCTGCCGCCGGCGGTGCTCGTCCCGGCGCAAGTACAGTTAGCGCTGAGGGCTCTCTCCGTATGGGCTGTCGGCGTGGTTGGCTTCGCCTGTGCTGCGCCGGCCACCGGCCGTCCCGGGCAGACAGTAGCGCTGCGGGCTCTCTCCGTCCGGGCTGTCGACTGTGGCTCGTCCTGTGACTGCCGACCGAGCGGCCGTCCCGGGCAGACGGTTAGCGGCCTGTGGGCCGTTGTTTCAGGGTTTCGTCTGCTTACGAGCCGGTCACCATGACGGCCGTCATCAGTCTGGTGTGCGGCTGCTTGGTGCTCCTCGTGCTCGTTGTAGCGCTGCTCCTGTACGCCTTTAAAAAGGAGAAAATGGTGCTTCTCACGGGAGTAACTCGGGCGGGTGACGAGCACCGGCGTGTGCACCGGAGCACCGGCCGACGGACGGATGGGACACCAGCACGGTGCACTCACGTCGTGGGGCGCCTTGAGATCGCACTGCACGGGCCCAGCAAAGGCTTCCAGCTCACGGGTTTTGGAACGCTTTGACGCACCAGAGGGGGGCTCTGAGTTTCACTTGGCCCTAGCTGCATTACCCTAAGTAGCTCCTTCCTCTAGAGCGTGTTTTTTTCTCAGCGTCTGCCAAACGATACGACTTCTGAAGCTGGTGTCAAGTCATGGAAGCCACCTGCAATAAATCCCGTCTTCCTACGCTTTTTAAAGGCTTTTTTCTCGGACATGAGTCCATTTTGTAAGATGTTTTTCCTCTCTTTTGTATTTTAGACACCCTGGACTCGTTCTGCAAATGCCGTTTTCTGCATTGCTTTCTTTATATTATAATATATATATATATATATATTATATACTATATATTATATAATTCTACACTTTTTGCGAGTGGTCTATGATAAATACGTCACGGTAGCAAACTAATATTGCACACCGATAGTCACTAGTAACAAAAAATGATACCGTCTTGTTATTGCGTCAGGAATTATTGGTCGTCATAGTGAGCCGATGAGCTGTCGTCGTGTTACCCGCATCAGACTAAACATAACCCCATTAACGGCGGTGGAAGCTCAATGGACTACCTTGTGAGGATTGGTCGCCTCCGAGACATCGCCAGGCTGTGTATCACTTACCTGATCGGCGGATTTTTACCGGTAGCGCATACGTCACATCCCTTTATATTAAGTTATCTTGGAAGCGCGAAATAAAATATTTCAGTCTTACGCAGATTATGTATGTCGCGCACTCTGCCACATCAACGATGTATTGTACGGGGTGAGCGACGCAAAGATTACAACACTATAAGCCGTCAGTGCAAGGAACCGGACGTTTACTGCCTTCTTGGCAACTGTCCAACTAATGGTGGCTGTTTGTACAGCTCATTAGTCCTTCAAGCTCAGCTCATTAGTCCCTCGGTAGCACCAACTGACCTGGGCCGCCAGCCGCTGCGCGGCCGCGCCGGTTGCTGTGGACAAGCCGGGCGGTGCTGTGCCCTCACCCGCAGTGCTGTGCGCCTGTAGGTCCGGTTCCGCGTATCCGAGTCGGTCCCCAGCCAGGACCTGCCTGTACGCGTACTGGCCGACCCGGCCGCGCCAAGTGAGGCACGGCCGGCGGAAAGCCAGCGCTCTCCGGGCAGGACCGGGTCTCACGGGACACTACAGACCGCCCTGAGCCCACTGACATTGGCCCGCAGCCGCCCAACAGACCGGCGCCCGCGGCACCTGGCTTAGCTGGCTGGTGTGTGGGTGGTAGTCATCGAGCGCAGACTACGCTGCGCCCGAGGGTGCCCAGCTGAGGCCAGTGCCGCGAGACAACCAGTGGGCAGTGCCGGGTTGGGTGTTTTGTACCGCGGCCTGTTGAACACGCGTCGGTAGTGCCTTTTGGTGGACAAGCGATGAGGTACGCGGCCGCCGCCAGCGTGCCACCTGTGTTGAGGTTTCAGGCTGGCTTCAGAAGTGTGATGTTTCTGTTATAAGAACGTGCAATGCCAGGCCACTCTGTCTCAGATAGCGTTGAAATGAAGAACCGCTTCTTCTAGTCAGATGATCCAATGGAACCAGTGGAACGAAAGTTCCATAGTACCTATCTTTAAGTTATCCATGTGAATGCGACACATGCCATTTTGAGCGGGTGCAAGACTCCTGACGAGGGTGCAGCTGGTGGCTCCCAACTCCCAACACGATGGGCATGCATAGTCCAACCTCGGAGCACCCGCGCTGGCCACCTGCATCTACCACCTTTGTGTGCTCTGTCGTGGTGCTGCAATGTTACTTCAACTTCTCCACTGTCCATTTGCAATAAATTGTAACACAGACTAGCAACCTTCTTGCATGCCCTAACGAGGACATTTCGCAAAGGTAACTTTTCGTATTCGTAGCAGCGAGCATGTGTCACTAATTGCCGCAATTTTGGGCAATTTTGTATTCATTTGAATGGGTTCGTAAATGTGGAAGACATTCCGTAAGTTGTTCAGTGCATTAGCCAGGAACATTATTCGCATAGATAAGACAGTAGAATTACCCTTATTCCTCAGAAAAACCAGGAGAATGGAGATATAGTTTGGTTGATATTCTAGCAGCATGCCTTTATCGAAACAAAAGCGGAAGATTGTCTCTGCCATTGTTTCGATAAGCGACTGTTGCCGAAATATTTGCCCCAACTATATTTCCATTGTCCTGGTTTTTCTCCGAGGAATAAGGCTCATACTACCGCCTTATCTATGTGGAAGACGTTCGTTTAATTCCACTTTTCATTGCTTGAACACCAAAATGCATGTGTCTATCTGTCTATTTTATTCCTATCCTGCTCCCTTTTTCGACCAGGGGAAGAGAACGCCCTCTTAACTGCTCTGCATTTTTATGGGGAACAGTCCTTCCGTTAAGTCTATTCATCCGCAGACAAACCGTGGCCACTATAACGACGTTTAATTAATGAACATACAACTCCAACATGATGCATATAGTTTTACACGTGCACAGACAACGGTTTTGTCTGAATTTCTACCCGTTGTTGGTCTAAATGGAGCACGGGCGCGTACCAAACTTTCTTGTTCGCCTAATGCACTTGTAACCTTGCCTCTCTTCTTTGCTTTCAGAAAAGGGAGGTTTCAAGCCAACTGATCTGGAAAGGTGAGTGAAAACGTACTTTTCCGCTTCTCCCACCCTTTCATATTCCTGGAATGGTAGCTTAGCTTGGACGAGACCAGTTTTTTAGCAGTTGATAGCCGTCAGTAGGACGTCGCATCCCCTATAATTTGCAGCCATGTTTGTACCCGTTCTGCTGCTTTTTAGCTATCTGCCTTGCGTTTGCGTTCCCACTAACAGCCTGCTACGTTCTGCTTGCGTCTGTTCCGAAACGCTCGTCGTGGCACATTCCGCCGCTGACCGCCGACGGCGCCACCGTCGCTATCGCACCGCTCCTCGCTATACCGCGTGTCCGGTGGGTGTTGCAGCGAAAAGAGTGAGGTAGAGAGCCGGACGGAGGGCGCCGCCCGCCAGGGCCTGGGCGCTATCCCACCGGACGCGCTGTACTCGGGACCGAAGAAGCCGGGCGGTCATGGCCAGCACGGTGGTCACGGTCTGCGAGAGGCAGCCAAGGTAAGCGCCGACGGACTCCAAAGCCGGCCGCCGAGTGGCAGCACTGTCTACATGGCACCATCACAAGGCCAGCCGCCTTCGCGCCGGTGCGGCTGCACCGGCGCACGCGGCCGCTGCCGGCACACTTCGCCGCGCCGCGGCCGCTGTGGTTGTGGCCCCGCGTCAGTGTCTGCCACTGAGGCTCGCCCTCCGCCGCTGTAGTTGTGGTCCAGCTTCAGTGTCCGCCACTGAGGCTCGCCCTCCGCTGCTGTAGCTGTGGCCCAGCGTCAGTGTCCGCCACGGAGGCTCGCCCTCCGCGCCAGCTGACCTCGGACGGCTCGTGTCGGCATCGCAATTGGCACCGCACTCCACAGAGCGTGACTCAACCTCGCACCCGTTTTTAATCTCACCACACACCTACTTTAGATCTCAGCGCACACCTGCTATAGACCACATCAAAAGTCACCAAAGGCCACTGCTTGCTTCACGACATCCAGCTCAACAGCCGGCAACCCGACTCGGTAGAATTCAGAACTTTTTTAATGTCTCGTCACTGGGCGCAGCAAGCACCGAGAAACACGCTCCACTTCGTCAGACGGATGCTGATCTTTGCTGCTCGTATGGCGAGGCATTTTATCAAACCATCAGTCTCCCTGCGATGTTCTGCCTTTCAGTCTTAGAACCCTGCATGAAAACGGACGATGTGCGCACCTTGACTGCATGTGTATGCTGGAACCTGAGCTTTCTCAGGCATGTTTTAAGCTAGTCATTTGTTTCTCGAATCGTATATAGCCTTGTTGTGCTATCATATCGTTCCATACAATAATTTTGCTATTGTATTGTTAGTTGTCACCACGAATTTGTCTAGTTAACGGGTGCTCCGGCTTCACCACGCATCGAAAAGCGCGGTAGTGCCCTGGGAGATGATTTGATGATTGATGCTGCTGGTGATATATTTGTCCTTTTAAAGGGAGTTGCGCTTCCAAGAAAGCTTTCCATTTTTGCTAGAAATAGCCTTAGGATACATTTTTTGCTTCTCAAAAACAGGTTTGGAAGCGCTAATCACAGAGCACTGAGAACATTGTCACCTTTTCACTTGTTCAGAGAGTCACGCCGCCCAGCATCATCAGCTGGCGACCGAGTTGCCTTGTTGTAATTTTAGCATGCCATGATTACAGCACCGTGGTGAAGACGGAGACAGTGGGAAAAGTGATAGCTCGCGAGGAGGCATCATCTACGCCGACCTCCAGCTGCCAAAAACCTCCAACAACGGTTCAATGAGAAAGTACCGCAACGAACGACACCTACTGCCCAGCGAGCAGAGACATCTAGCGGGCGCAAGCAGGAACGAGCCGGCGCGGACCGAGTACGCCGAGATAAAATTCGTTCCAAAATTGACGAGCGAGCGGACATTTAGCGTGGTGACTTTCAGAGCGCCGAGAACTTGTGCCGAGGCCGGCTGTGTGTGATGGCAGACATTTTTTAAGTCTCGGTCGCGAGCTGGAGGAAGCGAGCGAAAGGGCTACGTCCACGCAGCGATAGCGATGGCTTGCCTCAGACATTCAGTGGAGCTCCAGCCGCTGCAGCCCGCTTAGACACGAGCTGAGCAGGGCTCGACTGTGGCATGCCCGAACCGCTAAGGACAATCATCTGCTTATCGCGCCGCAAGCGCCGCGTCTGTAAATCCCGTAGCTTGTGTTGCATCGCGCGCGGATCTGCTGTTGCCCCGCCGACCACTATCGGTGTAAGGTATACCATGTACAAAGCAATCAAGTTCAGCGTGAGCTTTCGGCGACAGCATCGCCCGGGCTGGGAGACCACTCTCAGTTGGTCTGTGGGCGCTGCGACCGCGCGGCCTCTGGCGTCCTCCCGCTGTGCTCCCTGCTGGCTGATCGCCGGACTCGCCCTGTACGCCAGCGCCCCTCTGGCGTCTGCCCGCCGTGCTCCCTGCTGGCTGATCGCCGGACTCGCCCTGTACGCAGCTCCCCCGTGGCGTCTGCCCGCTGTGCTCCCTGCTGGCTTGATCGCCGGACTCGCCCTGTACGCCAGCGCCCCTCTGGCGTCTGCCCGCTGTGCTCCCTGCTGGCTGATCGCCGGACTCGCCCTGTACGCCAGCGCCCCTCTGGCGTCTGCCCGCTGTGCTCCCTGCTGGCTGATCGCCGGACTCGCCCTGTACGCCAGCGCCCCTCTGGCGTCTGCCCGCTGTGCTCCCTGCTGGCTGATCGCCGGACTCGCCCTGTACGCCAGCGCCCCTCTGGCGTCTGCCCGCCGTGCTCCCTGCTGGCTGATCGCCGGACTCGCCCTGTACGCCAGCTCCCCCCTGGCGTCTGCCCGCTGTGCTCCCTGCTGGTTGATCGCCGGACTCGCCCTGTACGCCAGCGCCCCCCTGGCGTCTGCCCGCTGTGCTCCCTGCTGGTTGACCGCAGGCCTCGCCCTGTACGCCGGTGGGCACACCTCGTCCAGGGCTGGGCATGTTCCAATGCTACTCGTCCCTGGCGGACTTCATGTCCTGAGGCGGCGCTCAGGTGCAGCTCAGGCTACAGTCCGCCAGGCTTTGATGTCACATGCTCTGAGCAGCTGGCGCCGTGTAACTGCCTATCGATGAGTTTTCAGCAGCGTATGACACTGTTTGCACCAAATCTAGTCTTGCGCAGTATGCGTGAACAATGTGAGTGAAATATTGGTCGCGCATGGTTTGTCAGTGTCATATGGTTTTAGAGCTGGCTGAATATATTTCGTCAGACAGCAAACCCAGCAACGTGGAATGGGTGACAATTGTCATGTAAACATTCCATGAATGAAACGTTCAGCGTTTCAACTGCAGAGCGAAAGATAAGCAAACATGTACCGGATACGCTGGTGATATGAAGGTGGTGCCCGGGGGTATCACGTTCTCAGATCGGTTGGGGGTCACGCCGGTCGGTCCAGATCAGATCGGTCCAATAAAGTTGGCCTAACCCACCCCAAATCCAGATTTTCTCCTCGGATTCCGGTCACTTTGATTTGCGTTCCTGATGTTGAAACTAGAACAGAAAGGCAATACTTGATAGATTCCAAAACTGTTTTGATATTGTTGAGGAATGGCATTCAATTTGAAGTTGATGTGATAGTGTTAATAATGATATACGATGGTGGTATAGCCGGTGATGCGTTTAGAACCCAGTATATGAGCGGTTCAGACACTAACTGCATTTCATTGGCCCAATATTCCATTTTTGCCCACGTTCGTTGGGAGGCTCAAAAGAGCATTGAGTCGGATCAAGTAAGCATTGGAGGGGGCGGGAGGTCAGGGCACCCGGAAAGCATGCAAAGTGACATTCCTGACGGTACCAAATCATTTTGTAACACTAGAGAACTGAGCCTGATCCAGCCCTGTCCAGTTTGCTTCTAGATGCGACGCGTCATAGCAGTTGGCGTTCACAAAAATGCAGAACGATCAACCTGCGGAAGCAAGTTAATGGCCCGTAGCAGAGCGCCGGTTGCCAATAACGGCCTCAAACACGGAGTTGGCCGCAGCTGCAGTCTAGGGGCGGCCCGTGCCACCGTCGGCCGCCTGACGCGGGATAAGTCGGCAGGTTGGGAGCACTTGCATCTTACCACTATATCTTACCACTATATCTTATCATTCACCGATCTTATTAGCAATCGCCCACTTCAACAGCAAGTCCGTTCCAGTGGCGCAGGCAGGGGCACAACGAACACGTGCGATACTCCCCTTATGTTCGTTCCCAAAGATTAAAGGTCCGATAGGACTGTCAGAGGTTGCATTTAGGAGACCCAGCCCGCAGGGCTGGGTCTCCTAAATGCGATTTGACACTCGAATAACCCCGGAGTCGATAATGTCCTATATGTTGGTCAAGACACCGCCAATAACGCACATTTGGCTCCGTGTCGGCATGGGTCTGAGGGCTCATTTCCCAAGCATGGACGAAGTCAGAGCCAGCGATTTACATTGGTCGGGGCCCCAGCGTCTGTCAGCGCCCCAAAGCGCCTTACAGGGGACTCTGTGTTCGCAAGGGGCCCTCAATCGGTCAGAAGTAGTGTTCGAGGAGGCCCAGAGAGCCCGAAGGGTCCACCAGGATCGACAATCAAAGGCCCGAGAAGAGGGCCTAAGGACACGAAGATCTGGTCGGAGTCATATTCAGGGGCCCCAGCCTGTGGGAACGGGCCCTCAGTGACAGCCAGCGGGCTCCTTCGCCGATCGGAGACTCCCTGAGTCGATAAGGTCCTAGAGGTCGGGCAGACACCACCAGTGCCGCACAGTCGGCTCTGTGTCGGTATGGGCCGAGCCTAAAGAGCCACTTCCCAATCATCTGCGAACCCGGGGCCAGCGATTTACACTGGTCGGGGCCCCTGTATCTGTCAGGGGTTCACCGCGCTTGACAGCGGCCCTGTGCTTGCAGGGGAGCCGGAGTCGACCAAGGGCAGTGCTTGATGAGGCCCAGGGGGCTTCTATGAGGGCCTTCTTATTAGGGCTTTCTGTCCCTATTATATACAGCCTCGATCCGGGCCGTGTCCGTCTGCGTGCTTGGGACCCATTTTCCGAGCAGGAACAGGATTGGAGCTCGCGATTTGCGATGTTTGGGGTCTCTGGCACAGTGCGGGGCTTCTGTGTCGGTCAAGGACTAGTGTCCAACAGGGGCCGTGTGGCAGCAAGTGACCCCGAGTCGGCCAGGAGCCGTCTTTGAGAGGCCCGAAGTGGGGCCGAAGGGTCTCTCGGGACGAGAGACCAAGGGCCCCACTGGATGGCTGAAGGGCCCGAAGGAGTGGCTGAAGGTCACATTAAGGATCCCGTCTGCAGGGCCGTGATCACAAGTGTCAGTCAGAGATCCTCTTGTACCGACGGGGGGCCCTGACACAGAGCGTTCCTCTATTCCGGTCTTGGATCACCAACACCGAACAGTCTGCTCCGTGTCGGTCTGAACTCTGGGGCCCATTTCACAAGAAGGTGTAAGGCTGGGGCCACTATTTACATTGTTCGGGGATTCTGATAACATGCGAGGCTCCTGTATCGGTCAGGAGCCCACAGCGCCTAGTAGGATGCTGTGTCAACAAGTGGCCCCGAATGGACCAGGGAACGTTTGCTCAACAGGGACGGTGATGAAACCTCCAACGTCAGGGGCCTCTTGCATTGGTCAGGGCCCTCGGTTAATGAAGGGAAACATGATAACTCATGATGAGCTTTCACATTGAGACACCCTGTGCCATTCAGGGTCCTCATTACCGAGCGGTGGGCCCTCCAGCGCAATTCTTGCGTGGGGCCATTAGGCCGAACTGAAGTATATGAGCCAATTATTGGACCACCTGCAGCGATCAGGAATCTTGTTGCGTCAATGGGGGTTCCTGTTTTGATTCGGGGCCAACTGCGCGGGTCAGAAGGCCTCCGCGGCAGGACGGGGACCGATGTGATATGATATATGTCACTAAGGGCCTCCGGATCGACCAGGGGTCCGACCCCGCGTCGCCAAAGTGGCAGCCGGAAGACACCCTACGGTAGGACGGAATGGCGCTTCAGGCCTGGAGCGGGAGCAATAATGTACCCCCAGTATTCTACTCAAGGCGATCCGTTGCCCGAAGAGAAGTAAGGGGCCACATTAGCGTTGAACAGGGTGGGTCGAAGTGGGTTCAAAAATGAACAAGGTCATCCCATGTTTACCTGAGAACGCTTATACCTTTGCAGAGCTGACTAGTAAAACAAATTTGTCGAAGGGTTTGGGCATGCGCGCCTACAATCTTGAAAACAAGGACGGCGACGGTCGGGGGTTCCGGTTTCCGTAAAACCGAACGGTGTTGGTCACTGCAGGTAACATTGGGGAGCCGGCGTCGTGTGCGCGAGGACGACCGTCGTGAAATAATGTTTACGAATCTGAGTGTCCTTCAAAATTAACTCACACACCGTTCAAAGATCAGGCTTGGCGTATCTGTATATACCTCGAGTTTGTCCCCTAGACAGATTAACAGTTGCAGCAACACGAAAAACAGAGATTCTACCTTTACTCCTTCAGTTTCACCATTAGGTTTCAGCACCGTTTTGCGATACCGTGAGGCAAATCCGTTGTCATCAATCTAAAAGTTGCACAGGTGAAATGTACGCCCGAACTACCCTCGAAAGGTACGATTTCGTGTCATGAGACGTGCGAAGGTACTTCTTTCAAATGCGTCGAGATTTTCGTCCACATTTCAGCCACGGCCTAGTGTTAGCCGCGGCGCCGGCGCTGCGCGGCCTACAGAGACTGCAATGCATAACGTTGAGGTACTCGTTGGCAAGATCTGCGAGCGCGCATGTTCAAAACTGCGTTATATTATATGCATCCCCAATCAACTCTGACTGAATGCTGAACACTCCCGGTAGGCTAATACAAATAGTTACCCATTTCGATCTACCATCTACCTTCGCGGGATTCGAAATCTACATTCTGAAGAAACCAGGTCAAAATTCTGGCAAAGCTTCGAAGTTCCATCGGTTTGGAAAGAGCTCACTTGATCATTTCAAAATGAAGAGCGCCGGTGATTTATTCCATGCACTCGTATGACACATTATTTCTGCGGTTTCTTACACGCGCTCGGGTGGGGGTCAAATTGACCCCCCGAAAGTTTTCCAGAATGGTTTCCGAACGGCGCGGCATAGCCGCGCCAAATTCTGTATATCTGCAGACGATTGAATAGCGGATCGTTTGGCATAAAAAATTCAGGTGTACCTTGTAAAGTCACTGACCTATGGCAGGTCAAAGTCAGGCCATTGTTTCAGCGAAGGCAATTTCTAGGGAATCCTTCAATCCGATCTAACAGCGGAGTGTTTGACGAAGCCATACATCTGTGGGATGCTTTCTTAGGCAAAACAACATTTGAATGAGCTGTAAATACTGCCTAGCGTTATCTCTGTCGCTTAGTCAAAGTCAAAGCAATCTTGCATGATTTTGGTCACCTTGACCTTCAAAAGGTCAAACAAGGTCACTGACCTTGAATGAGAATATGAACTTTTGTTTGGAAAGTTTCATAGGTTCTGGGGGCACTTGGAGAACAACCTGGAACGTGACCTTGCTTGACCTTTTTTGATCTGAAGGTCATGACCTAGGAATCTGAAACTTTCACCTAAGTGAGTTCACATACAGGTCAACACACGCTGCAAATTTGGTGTTTGTAGCTTTCTTAGTTCCCGAGATCTCAGTGGAGTCAAATTGAACCTCTCCCCCACCGAGCGAGGAATATCTAGCCGGACACCCGGGCGCGTGTTAATATACAATTCAGGCAGAATTGATCTTGCGGTACCTTAGAACTCTGTTCCAGTTATAGAAGGCGAAAATGAAAAAAAGACAAACATGCTTTCATGAATAAATCGACGTTATCCGGCAATTTATTTCGGGGGCCTTCGTTAACCCTGAAGCGCCTCCCCTTGCTAAGCTGCGCGAGCTGATGGCCGATATCTGACCAAGGCCGCGTCCCTGGTCCGATATCACGCCAGACACTTGAGGGGTCCGAGCGGCAGTGCCAGATTACGCGTCCGCTGCCGAGCCACGCCGCTGCGGTCCGGTGAGGATGACATGCAGCCGTCCAGGCTGTCTGCGCGCCGCGCTGCTGGCCGAAAACCTGCTGCTGCTGGTGGGCGCGCTGCTGCTGCTGACTGTGGGCGCCGACGCGCTGGTGTCAGATGGCTCGCGCGCTGCCGTGCTGGCCGGCGTGCTGCTGGCCCGCGGTGCCGCCTGGTTGCTGACCGGTGCCGGTTCACTGCTGCTGCTGCTGGCGCTGCTGGGCGGCGGCGGTGCGCTGCTGCGCAGCCGCTGCCTGACGCTCACCTTCAGCGTGCTGAGTGGTCTGCTGACGCTGCTGACGCTGTTGACGGCCGTGGGCGCGCTGCTGGTCACGGGACCGCTGGCCGGCCGGCTGGAGGCTGCGCTCATCCGCTCCCTGGCAGACTATGGCAGCCACGCCGACGTCACGCGCGCCTGGGACATGCTGCAGAGTGGCTTCCGCTGCTGCGGCGTCGTCAGCGGCTTCGACTGGGCACGGAACAACTCGCTGACGACGGTCGTGCCCTGGAGCTGCTGCCGCCGGCTGCCGAACGGCACGAGCGAGGCGTGCGAGGCAGCGCCCACCAACGCCGACTCGTACTACAGTGTGGGCTGCCTGGCGGCGGCGCGACACCTGCTGACGGCCGAGGGCTGGCTGCTGGCGGCATCGCCATCGCCATCACTGTGATCCTCATCGTCTCCAGCGTCGCCGGTTGTTGCTTCGCCAGGACCAAACGGTAAGGTCGCCAGCGACGCGCAGAGCGGCGATAAAATGATGAGAATGGGAGGGGTATACTGTCAGGCCTGGCTGACTCAGGGACCAGATCCTGGGCTTTCTGCAGAGGAGCAGGCAATTTTTCTCTCTGTCGACAATTGGTTGCCTGCTTTCATTACTTTACGATAGGATATCAAACTCCAACAATAGCGGGAATGATCTCTTTTGGGAGAGTAGATGAGAGCAGAAGCTGAGAAAAACAATGAAAATGCAAATACTGCCCTCCAACAGACCAGACAATGGTGCAACACCAATCAACGCGAGTCGACTGTAGGGTAAGGTGGGCCCAGTGGGGTCAAAGCCCGCTCGCAGGAAGCCCACACAGGCCCTGCGATCTTCAGCTCACAGGGGACACACGCGCCGCGCGATGCTCGCTTGTTGTAGGCAGCCTCCTGACCAGCCACCGTTGGCTTGCCTTCTACGTTTGCGCATTATGTGGCGACCGCATTGTTGTTTTTTGTTCGTCAGAAGGGCATGATGACTGAGTAGAAAGGACAGCCGACTTTTACCAGGGTAGAGCGGGGATGAAAAGACTGGAATCTCGGTCGCATCATGGTCGTTCTATTACGCTGTGCGCCGTACTTTCCGAGCCTGAATGTTAGCGTTGACCAGTCGCGGGCTATCGATGACGCCCCCTCCCCTCTTTCCCCCCTCCGGGGTCGCGGATGTCGCTGATAGATCAATATATTGCGGGCCCTGGTACGGACAATCGTTGAGAGGTTAATGGTGAAGGCCGCAGTGGATCCTCGTTGCTCCAGTATATAGTCGCATGCCAAGTTACGTGTCGGGGAGGGGGGGGGGGGGAGCGTGATCAGGGCTCCTCTGATGGCGGTGGAAACTTGTGCACACTACATTTGAAGCTCGGTTCACGCCCAACTTCCATATCGGATGCGTTGTTGTCCATAACTAGTAATGATCGCCCTTAGTCTTGTTTAGCAGAGCTGGTCGGTTCCTACTCCCCGCAGTAAAATTCGCTACGGCCACGTGGGTATGACGCCAAACGCACACGCCGATAGCATAAAACGCTATTTGGATATGATATGCGTGTCATTCAAGCCGACCGAGCTGGGGGAGGGGGGGGGGGAGAGGGAAGTCAGGAAAGACATTTGGCAATGGGCTCATGACAATATACACTTTGGGATATGCTTTTGAGTCCGTTTATGATGCGTGCCCCATATGCCATCTCCGCTCAAGCAATAATGGGAGGCTACAAGCCTACAGCGCACCGACATGATAAGATTCTTGACTTGCAACAACCGACTGTGCAAATCTCTGTGCAAATGTGTCTGCAATCAGCCATCTGCAGAGCTCGGTTCCGCTAGAACGAGACGGGTTTGGTTGTTCCCTGCAACCGTCGCATGGCGCTATCGCACTGGTGACAGGACGCCAGAAATCCGCTGTGTCCACCCCGACATCGCATGTTCTCTCGATGAGCCACAACGGCTGCCTAATCAAAATTCACACAAAGGCGAAAGTGGCGGGGACGTGTGCACGATTTCGCGCCGGGGAAGGGGCTCAGCGGAAAAGGAATAAGCATTTTCGAATTGGACTCCGAGTAGGGCTATGAATACGGTGGCGGAAAGAAAAGGCAGGAAAAAGGGTGCTGCGCTGTCCTCTTGAGCACGCCCTGTATCGCGTGCGACGGCGATGTGTGGGTCGTGTGTCCCGGCATACCGTCAACCTGTCTCGCGTGCGATGGCGATGTGTGGGTCGTGTGTCCCGGCATACCGTCAGCCTGTCTCACGTGCGATGGCGGTGTTCGGGTCGTGTGTCCCGGCGTACCGTCAGCTTGGTTCGCACGAGCAGCACCGATGCGTCTTCCGCTGCCACTGACCCACCGCTTGACCCAGTCAGGCCAGCTGGTAAGTTTTGCCATCTGTGTTAGAGCGCGCCCTGTGCTGTTTCAGGACACAAATATACAGCAAGGTGTGGAGCCGATGATGGCAAGCAGTGGCCGATCTGCGCAGCATTTGCAGTGCAAGCGGTGGGCGACCTGCGCAGTGGTTCCGTCGCAGTGCAAGCAGTGGGCGGCTTGCGCGGCGGTTGCGGTGCAAGCAGTGGGCGACTTGCGTGGCGGTTGCAGCGCAAGCAGTGCGTGACTTGCGCGGCTGGTTGCAGTGCAAGCAGTGGGCGACTTGTGCGGCGGTCGCAGTGCAAGCAGTGCGTGACTTGCGCGGCGGTTGCAGTGCAAGCAGTGGGCGACTTGCGCGGCGGTCGCAGTGCAAGCAGTGGGCGGCCCAGGGGAACGCTGCGATGGTATGCTAGGTTTCTACTGTAGTTGCATAATTAGCGGAGCCTTTCGGCCAGTAACGTACTTCTGCGATGTGAGACACGTGCCGGCAAGCTGTTAGTGTTACGGAGACACTGTTCTGGTTATTTTAATGTTTCACGCACCGTTTATTGGGATGCGATCGTAGAATACGGCAGGTTTTCGTCGTCGTACTTGAAGTTGTTTTCATCGCTGATGTTACAAGTTATGTTATATGCTGATGTTACTGTCACAAGATCAGTTCCACTTCTCAGCTTCAAACGTCCCGCTTCCCATGCTCGTGGCAAGATAAGAGCTTACGAGGCACTCTGTATTGTAACGTGCAGCGCACAATTGAGACCTGGCACCACTTCTGTGCGACCTCTATCGACATGACGTGCTGCACTCGCCTGCGACACCATCCAGCGCAGCACAGCCCGCGCGGCGACACATTAACACTGATCGCAGGGGCAGCACGGAAAGACCAGCACCCGGCCGCTACAGCGGACCGTGCCGTGTCCTGTGTCCCGTGTCCGGACGCAGTCAGTCCTGCTCTGTCGTCGGCAGGCGCCGGCGAGCGAGCGCAGGCCCGCCACGGACGGCGGCCTCCTCGGAGCGCGCGCTGACGCCACACGACAGGGACGGACGGGGGCCGTCCGGCCCGGCCGGCGCCGTTAAGCTCTGGGTGACACGCGGCAGACGGACGTCGGTGCGCGCGCGCTGGCCACCGGGCCGGGGCGGGGCGTCGGACCGGACCCGTTCTCACTTGTGAGAGGAGAGGGCGCGCAGCGATAGCTGACTCACGGGGCGTGCGCACCGACGGGATGCCGCGCGGCGGAGCTGGGATACCCGTCGGGATCAAGACCTTGGGGGCCATTGACCGCGGCCTCGGCTAGCTGTGGACTCATCCCGGCGGCCATGTCCTCCACCGCGTGGACTCTCGACGCTGGCGGGCTTTCAGCGAGGCTTACGAGGTTACACTCGGTCCGAACCTCCAGCGAAACAACGTTTCGTTTGTTCGTACCATCAGAGTACTTGGAAGGTGGTTTGCGGCGTCCTCGTGAGCGCGTGCAAAACAGCGCATGCTCAGCGGTCATTGGTTACAGCATCCGAACCAGCAGCTTGTCGGCGCGGGTACATGGAGCCCTATAATTACACACAGTGCTGCCAACTGCCAAATTTGGCATCACTTTTTTGCTGTGATGGTGCTGTACCGCCAAAAGTGTGACAAAACATGATCCGACACTTGCTCCTTGTTGGCGGAAAATGTCACCAGCCAGTCAACAGCTCAACGAGAGACATTCACGCGACGTACGGCGTGCTGCGGCTGGCGACAAGCTTTCTTCGATCCAGCAAGCCATAGAGGCCTTCGAATACGTGCTGTTGTTGCACGCTCGCCTCTGCGTTCGAGCCGACGGCGTTGGGTGAGCGACAGGGCCACACACGGCCATCATGAATCTACTAAAACATCCGCGGGGCCGCACTGATCAAGCGCCAACACAGCCCTATGGGCCGATAAGAACTGGTCGCATCCCACCTCGCCATCAGGCGGGAAAGAACCTCACGCAGTTTCATGGACAGTGAGAGTTCAAACTTTAGCTTAGATTTCAACCAAATCATATGCGGGCCGATGCGTAGCGTTGCATTATTTGCCGCTCAATGCAACCGACGCTTGGCGAAGCATTGCAATTCGCGCCAGTGGCGTGGTTCGTGGAGAACAAGGCTGACAACGCTATAACGGGGTGGGGCTGGGCCTCACGCAACATGGACCCACAGCCGGCTGCCTGCCGTGACGTCGGAGTCTGCGAACGGCTTCCTGAGCTGGCATCCTGCACTCCAGTCACACGAACGACATGGCGCTCGTCTGGCGCCCGGCAACGGCGCTCGTATCGGGCGCCAGGACCAACCTCTTTCCGCTGCCCTGTCACCCAGGACCAACCTCTTCCGCTGCCCTGTCACGTGTCAGATTGTACAGCGGGCCGGCCTGGCTCGAGCTCGGCACCCCACCTCCCCTGGGGATGCCGCGGTGCCCTCAGGCGGTCCGCTGCGCCCGGCCGCCGGCGCAAGGCACGTCCTCGTCCCTCGTCCGGCTCGGCGGCGGCTCGGCCGAACAGGCGACTCTCGACACCGGTGCGTGTGATGGCGTACAGCGGCCGCAGCGCCGCCCGGAGCGACTCGAACAGGTGCGGGAACAACACCTCCTGCTGTGCCAGCAGCTGCTTCACACGCGGTGGCCGCTCCTGGGGGCCGGCACCACGGTTAGGCGGGGAACTAACGCGGGAGCAGCACCACCCGCTGGGCCGGCAGCTGCTTCACACGGTGCCGCTCCTGGGGGACGGCGTCACGGTTAGGCGGGGAACTAACGCGGGAGCAGCACACACCCGCTGGGCCGGCAGCTGCTTCACGCGGTGCCGCTCCTGGGGGCCGGCACCACGGTTAGGCGGGGAACTAACGCGGGAGCAGCACCACCCGCTGGGCCGGCAGCTGCTTCACGCGCAGCTGCTGGCCCAGTGCCAGCTCCTGGGGTCAACAGAACGACTGGTGAAGAACAGCTGCGGGGATGAATAACATCTGCCCGTGATCGCGCGCTGGCAGAAAATATTCTAAGAATATTTATATACGTTAACATTTGTTTACACACGTTAATATATACGTTAATATTTGAACATTAACTAACAGAAAACTCGGCACTTAAACACCTCCTCACTTGCCTGACCAGTCAGTCCCGCCTCGAGTAACGTAGGCAACATAACAATATGACGATACCCCCGATCTTACCTCCCATTCGAGTAACGTGGGAAACATAACAATATGACGATGCCCCCGATCTTACCTCCCACTCGAGTAACGTGGGAAACATAACAGTTGGACGATGCCCTCCATCTTACCTCCCACTCGAGCAACGTGGGAAACATAACATTTGAGAACTGCAAAGAAGCTGCCGAACCCGGGCCGTACCCGGACCCACATCTGGATGTCAGGCGTCCCATCGAACAACCGGACCCAGATCTGGATGGCAGGCGTCCCATCCAAACGGCAATGGGAGATTAACAATGACGAAACCCACCCCAAATTAGCCAACAAACTGCCCCGATTTGATCCACTTTTCACAAAGTTGGGGAATAGAGTCCAAGTTGAGGGGGCTAGAGCCTCCTGAAAACGCAATAATTTTGTTTTGTTTCGTATATCGATTTCGCCGGCTGAAACTGCCCGCCTTGCCCCAGCCAACTTTCGAGAAATCTGATTGCGAATAAACGCATGAACTCTGTCGCAGTGAGGCTCATTTTCTGTCAAGCTGTCGTGAAAGAAATGCGTTGCATTACGAATATCGTGTTGTGTGATTTTTAAAGGCGTCCGAGCCCGACTGTTTTAGGTTCTGGCGTCCACCTGATGCTCCACCCACGTCTCTTACCACCTGGCTCGTCTAACGGCGCGCACCGAATATTACTGGTAATAATGGTCAGCTAGTCAACACCTACACCATACGGTCCTGATACACAAGAGCGGCAGCGTCGTCGAAAGAACTTTATCTATGGAAGTAAGCCAGTCACTGACAGCCCTTAATGCCACTGATGTCATGCAGCTCCGACCACCTACGCACGCGGCCTGCCGAGACAGGGGCGTCTCATGTGGTGTCCACGGTACTCTTCCGGCGCCACCGCGCTTGGTGAGCAATGAGTCACGCACACCAGTTTGAGTGCTAGATATTGTTCGGTGGCCATGAATGGTCAATGCAGATATGTTGTGAATCATGTAGACATCCGTCAGTCGAGTCATGATACTGGTCATGTGACATGATCACGTCACGCGCATGCGAACATGTACTGATCATGATCATGTGTCGTGATCATACGAGGCAATGACACACGGGATAGGCGTAAACTATCATACGGATGGTGCCTCCCCCCTCCCCCCCAAAAAAACACGAAAACTGGGCGCCTTCGGTCACCGATACCGGTGGGCTCCATCACCCCGCTTGGAGGTCTACAGAACTCAAGATGGAGGTCCCGACGTAGCATTTGTTCGCAAATTCACAAACATGGCTGTCTGAATGTGCGCCGCCCGAAAGCGGTCATGCCTGTCAATTTGAATCCACGACATCGACGAATTTACAATGCTACACGGTTTTAACTATCGTGATGGAAAGTAATACAACAGCGCATATGCTGGGTTAATAATGACCGTAATGGAAGGCGTGTGCAGAACACGCCTGTATATCTCATCTGGCGTAATCCCGCGCTTGTGTACGTTATCTGGCGTAATCCCGCCTCATCACGCCACCACGAGTTGTGTTTTAGATGGGTTTCGGAGTCGGCACCACCGGCCGCTTTCCGGTCCCCATGTCACCGAGCATCGTCCACGTCGATGTTACAGCTACGGTCCAGACAATTCTGTGAAGAGGTATTGAGTTGTAATCCACGCAAACGCTTGCGTCCTGAATTCGGTTTCATACATTCATCTGCTCTCGTTGATGAGGCCTGACAGCAATCCTTACAACGTCCACAAACGGACGGATCCATGGTTTGCTCACGCGTGGTTTCGAATTGTGTTCTCAGCTTTGTCCGCATCTTGGAAGTCCGCATCTAACTGTTGCCATGCTAGTTGAATGCGGCGGGGCGGGGGGGGGGGGGGGGGGGTAAAATCGTGGCAACTGTGCAATGTAAAACCTCCAGATCTCATCAGAACCGCAGTCCTTGTCACTGAAAGCTGAAGCAACCAGCGGCCTGCTGTTGCCAAAATATTACCTTCTAGACAGCGTGATGGCCGGGCAGAGCTGAACTGTCCCACCTGATAGTCTATCGTCGTTCGCGCGTGGCCTACTTAGTCGGCAGCCTCGCTCGTAAACAAAATGACCTACCAGCGATTTATGTCCGCGATGTTACGGCTGGGCTTTTGAGGAAAATAACAAAACTGTCCGCTATCCATACAAATCATTCAACGTCTGTTCACACACCGCTGCGGCTTACACTATCACACCACCGCGTCGTATAAAACAGCAGCTGCTTCTCATGGTTATCAACTACCCGCCCCCCCCCCCCCCCCTCTATACTTCGCCAATCCGTCCCCGATAACAGAGCAGCAGAGCGGGGCTGGCGCCCGCGGGTCCGACGAGCCGTCGGCCGCCAACCCACCTTGGGCTCCTCGAAGCATGCTGGGCAGTTCTCGGGGATGACCGGCAGGCCGCGCGACTCGGCGAAGCGGCGCAGCTCCTTCTCGCGGACGTAGATGAGCGGCCTGATAACGCGCAGGTCCTCCTCGCTGCCGAGCACGCGCCGCAACACAGGTTCACGCCATGGACGCGGTGGCAGGGGGGGGGGGGGGGCTGGCCGTGTCACGGACATAGTCGCGGTCGGAAGATTATCACGCCATTGACGCGGGCAGCGGAAGGCTGGCCACGCCACGGAAGTGAAAAGCGGGAGGCTGGCCACGCCACAAGTGTGAAAAGCAGGAGGCTGGCCACGCCACGAGTGTGAACAGCGAGAGGCTGGTCACGCCACGGATGTGAACCGCGGGAGGCCGGTCACGCCACGGACGTGAAAAGCGGGAGGATGGCCACGCCACAAGTGTGAACAGCGGGAGGCTGGTCACGCCCGCGGATGTGAACCGCGGGAGGCTGGTCACGCCACGGACGTGAACAGCGGGAGGCTGACCACGCCTCGGATAGCGGGAGGCTGGTCACGCCACGGATGTGAGTAGCGGGAGACTGGTCACGCCACGGATGTGAGTAGCGGGAGGCCGGCCACACCACGGATGTGAATAGCGGGAGACTGGTCACACCACGGATGTGAGTAGCGGGAGACTGGTCACGCCACGGATGTGAGTAGCGGGAGACTGGTCACACCACGAGCACGTCTAATATAGTTCTGCACGCTTTGACCAAAGACTTGAGACGCCGGCGAGCATTTATGGATAGCCGAGCTCGCCACGTGACGGTGCACAGCTGCGGACCGCCGGCGGCGGGCCGGCTTGCCTCCTACGTCGCAGGGACCAACTTACGTGACCGCGTAGCACGCCTTCATGGTGCGCAGCCGGCCGTTGTGGAAGACCGACATGAGGAAGCTCTCGGACACGTCGTCCAGGTGCTGGCCGAACGCCAACACGTTGTAGCCCTGGCGGCGGGCGGCCGCGTACAGGCGGCCCCGCTTCATGCGCGAGCAGAAGCTGCAGATGCTGCTGCACTCCACCTCCTCCGCCTGACGCAGGATACCTGCCGACCGCTGCCGGTCGTCACACGGCAGCGACGACCGCCGAGGACAGGCGGCCTCCCTGGCCGGGCGTGTAGCTGTGTTGTGCTCTTATGTTGGCTTCTGCCCGGTACTAAAGACTAGCCTTCGAGCATTGGGTTCCATCCGATTTACAAACATCGCTGAGCTTGATCTTTGTGACGGTGCGAGACAAATTGTTCTGATGTACGCGGCCTACGCACATTGCGTCGGCTGCTGGTCACAGCACAGCACGCTCCTAAACAAAACTTGGCACATGGAGTGTAGGAACATGCTTGATATATCAGAGGGACTATATCACCCGCCACATGGGGTTTTGGACTGAGAGATCCACGTTGTAGAGCACAAGCAGACGGACACAGTGACGTGCTGATGAGCTCTCGCTGGACGGGTGTTTTCACACCTTCACCGGTCAAGGGCCCATACCACCTCCAAAACTGAAGACCCCGCGGACAGCAGCATCGCCTCCTTGGCGTCAAACTACGTCAGACTGGCTACACCAAACATCAGCGTACGTGACCAATCGACGCCAAGACCACGTCAATGGGGAAGTTCATCAGAACTCATGTTCCACAGCCGTTCGTTAGTGTGCCTTAACGTATCGCGCGACCGAAATGATCTCAATGAGGAGGCACCACACTTTCAGCGGGTTAGGTCATTTCCGGAAAATCTCGGAGGACGCTGGGGCTCTCGCTTGACGAGGGTTTTGGCTTATTTGGTTTATGTTTCATTTCCTGTGCTTTGACGTAATCACTCCTGGGTGTCTTCCCTACTATCACGCGTGGCGTCGTCAGCAGCAGCACCACGCAGTTCCGTCCCTTGGTTTCTGGATAGGCACGCGGTATTGTATGGTCGTAACGGCGTTAGTTGCAAAATTCAGACGGCAAGCACGATCAGTTGATTTTCGGGGGGGGGGGGGGGGTTACAGGGAGTGTGCCACCTTTGTGTATCTACGATTCAATCGGAAACACCAGTTTTATCCAAATCGTTGTGTATAGCTCACGATTTCTATTTGAAGTGGCCGCAGCTACGGGAGAAAAGCATGACATGGACCATCGTGACGCATTGTTTCAAACATCAACCAGTGCTTTTCTTGGTACCAGACCTTTGCCTCCCGCTGGGCCAGTCACAAGCGTTCTTTTATTCGCACCAGCAGAGGTGCCACGGCAGTTGTCATGATGACGGCGGTCGTGAGAGCAAGAAAAAGCATAGTGCTGTTACAGTCGACGGCGTAACGTGAACCCGAAAACAATTAACATTAATACCCTTAGTATGTCTTGACAGTGCTACAATGACACTACCCAGTGCTATTTATCAACGGAACTGGTCCTGAAGTTTCACTTACGTATGTTTTTGAAACATCCTCTAAAAGTGGGGCGCTCCATTTAAGGCCTTAAAAACTTGTACGAACCATCTGCACTACAATCAGTTATCAGGTATGGTAACCAGCATCACCAATCTTCAAAAATCAGCACAATATTCTAGTTGTAATGTTACTATTAACATTATGTTATACTCGTAATATAACTACCAGCATTACATTTTCTATTTATAACTAAGCAGTTGCCGTTATTGCACTGCAGACAAATAGCAGCGGGCCATGACCAGTGTTCCAATATTCAGCAACTTGGGTGACAGGGATGTCGATATTCTATATGCTATTACACCCCGGCTTGGGGTCCACTGCCGGTGGCCCCTCCCCTGCTTCAAATTCAACCAATCAGCATCGAACCGGGCGGAGGTCAATCCAACCTCTAAACGCCGCAGACTTGACGAATGGCCGGGCTGGTCAGATGTCTGGCTTCGGGGTCAAAGAACAGCGGATTAGCGCCAATGAATTGTGTGTGGAGATACAGGAGAGCCAGGATTCCGACAGAATGAATATGTACTGATATCCTGCACACCCTGCTGCATAAATTTTGAACCGCTGCTATGAAGCACATCAAGCGTGTTTCAATCACTCACATGAAATGCAAACTCCATCATGAGCCCAGAGGTAAGAAATGAAAAACATGAAAAAACAGACAGGCCAGCAAACAAAAAACAAACAGGCCAGCAAACAGTCAGGTACAGATAAACAGAGCTGCCGGTGGTCTGACCTTGCACCTCGTAGTAGTAGGGCACGCCGAGCTTGGCCAGGTAGGGGCGCAGCGGGCGCGGGTCGTAAGCGCTGCTCTGCGGGTCGACGGTGACGGCCGCCAGGTGGAAGGGCGCGCCACGGCTGGCCGCCACGAACTGGTACTGGCGCAGCACGTGCAGCAGCGAGAGCGAGTCCTTGCCGCCCGAGAGGCAGACCAGCACACGGTCGTCCGGCCGCAGCATCGAGAACTCCTCGATCGCCTGGCGTGAGATCGCCGCGTCAGGCCACGTTAGGGCAGAGCAGGGCAGGGCAGGGCAGGGCAGGGCAGGGCAGGGCAGGGCAGGGCAGGGCAGGGCAGGGCAGGGCAGGGCAAGGGCAGGCCAGGACGGGACAGGACAGGACAGGGTAGGGCAGGGCAGAGCAGAACAGGGCAGGGCAGGAGAAGGATGGGCAGGGCACGGCAGGTCCGGGCAGGACAGGGAGGGCAGGGGCAGGACAGAGGAAGGGGGGGGGGCAGGACGGGGCCGGACAGGTAAGACGGACGACGCTGAGGCGTGCCAGAGCCGACTGACTCAGCAGATGGGAGCAGTCAGACACGATCCGAATGATCGGTGCATTCCACACGATTAGATGGTCTGCTTCTATAGCTAGATCAATAGCGCATGCTAACGTCATGTCCAACGCATAGTACAGCATGCTACGGACACAACATAAAGAATGAAGGTCGCAGCATGCATTCTGTACAATGCTGCAAAATGTTGCATGAAGAGTGGTGATCCAGTCCCACCCTCAGTGATCGCCAAGCTTGCATGCCAGCCTTTACGTACCGGTCTTCTCCATGCACGTACCTCGGCCGTTTTCTTGAAGATGGCCCGCGGCGGCGCATGCCACTGGGGCCCGGTCGGCTGGGCCTTGGCCGGCGCTCTGTGGGCGGGGCTCGGCGGACTGGCGGCCGGTCCGTCGCCGTCTCCGGACGCGGAGTCCGGGCCGCCGCCGTCCGCTCCGCTCACCACACCGGAGGGTGCCTGGCCGGCGCCCGCCGCCCCCGCGACACCGGGCTCGCCGCCGGCTAGTCTAGAGCTATCGTAGGACTCGGACTCGAGGCGGACCCCGCAAGGTGAGCCCTTGATGTCACTCGTTTTCGCGCCACTGTCGTCACTGATTTCTGAATCGCGGGCGTCACTGACGAGGGTTCCTACGCCGCTATCGATATGTGCCACACTGCTGCCACTCATTTTTGAATCGCAGCTGTCACTGACAATGCCATCTGAGGCGTCACTGACTGTCGCCTCACGGCTGTCGCTAATTTTCGAACTGCAGCTGTCACTAGTTTTGATCTCACGAACGCTCGTGACCTTTGGTTCAATGCCTTGACCCCCTGGTGCTTCGCGAGGCCGGCCGCTGCTCGGTCGGCTGTGGTCAGTGGCCGGCTGTTCCCGACAGCATCCGATCGGCGCTGCCAGCCGATCGGCGCCGCTCGCGCCCGTGCCGCCGCCGTGCGCTGCCGCGCTCCGTTCGGCCGCATCGTCACTCCCGCTGACGGAGAATACCACAGCGGCGGCGACAGGGGCAGCGGCGACGGGGGGTGGCGTGGCCGGGGGCGTCACCACCGACACGGCCACCACGCGCCGACCGCACGACGCTGACACCAACGCCGCCACCGGCTGCGAGCGCGCCGGCGCCTCGGTGCTGGCCGCCGGTCGGCTCTCGGCGCCGTCCGGCGAGCTCCGTCGGTCGGCGCCGGCGCCGGTGCCGCGCGCCGCCGGCCCAGGCACCGGCGCCGGCGGCGACGCGGCCGGCATCTGGCCGGCCGAGCCGTGGCGCCGGATGGCCGGCGGCCGCGCGCCGCTGAAGAACAGATTGTGCAGCTCCTGCGCCAGAAAGCGCGTGTCCGAGAGCCGGCGGTCGGTACCGCACGAGACGCTCATGGCGCGCTGCTTCATGTGCGGCGGGCGCGTGGGCGTGTCGATCGGCGAGGAGGCGGCGGCCGGCGGCGCGCGCGCCGGTCGGCCGCGGTCGCGATCCAGCGAGCCGGCGTACTGGAGCGGTGTGGCTGGCGCGGCCGCCGGCGTCCGCGGCGACTCCGGCTGGTCGACGCGAGCCGACGCCGGCGGGTCGCGGCTCTCGGACATGGCCCGGCGGCGGCCAAGCGCCATCCGCCCCTGCCCGGAGTACACCTGCGCACGGCGACGGAAGGCCCGGTCAGCTCAGCCGAGACATGAGCCTCAGAACACACCATACAATCACTCCGCACAATACCAGAACCAGGCAGCTACCTGCAACACTTATCTGAGCTTATCGATCTTCCGAGATACTCGGTCAGGCAAGATCACCAGCCAGCACCGCCCACCGGAGCCCCATCCAGTGACCACAGCAGCGCCTCTGCCCACGCCGGACACACCCCGTTCCGCTCCGCCGAGGCGCCGACACTCACCCGCGGCTTGAACGGCGGCCGCATGGTGATGGCCGTGCCATGTAGCATTAGGCGCGCCTCGTTCGGCAGCAGGAACCAGCGCAGCTCTGTCGCCGCCGCGTCAAACATGGCGCTGTGGTCGGGCACCTGGCGCGGGCAGTTCTGCCGGGCCAGGGATCAGGTCAGAGCGGCAGAGGTTAAGGAGACGGTCATGTGTCGAAGCGGATATGAATGGGAATGCAAAACATAACAAAACATGACGGACATTCGCGAGCCTACCAATTGAAAATGACGCATGAAACAAACAACCCGAAGCACCATAATCATGGGGAATGAGGGAAATAGCCATGTTGTGATAGCAGTCATTAGTCATGAAACCAATCCACCATTCCTCGAATCATTTTGATTCAGATGAAAACTAAAGAAGTCCTGAAAGCCGACCCGTTCTTACGACGGATGCAAGAGCGCCGCTGGAAGTTTCCGCTGGCCTGGTCACACAAAAGTGGTACAAATTATCCCGACGGCAGCCCTAGGCGGCGGGCGGGCGCACCTTCTTGGCGCTGTCGATGAGGGCGCGGGCGCGGGCGGCGCAGGCGCGCAGCTCCGGCGCCGGCGGGTGGGCCGACCGCTGCCGGTACTCCATGCGGCCCGAGCCGTAGCGGATGTCGCCCAGCCAGCGGCGCTCCTTCAGAACCTGACGGGGTCGCGCAACGGTCCACCGGGGCTCCAGGTCACCCCAATGCTAGATCACCAGACCACCAGGTCATCGGGTCCACCAGTTCACCGGAACACCAGTTCACCGGATCACCAGTTCACCGGATCACCAGGTCAGCGGATCTACCAGGTCAGCGGACTCACAGGTCAGCCGGATCACCAGGTCAGCAGGACTCACCAGGTCACAGGATCACCAGGTCACAGGATCACCAGGTCAGCAGACTACCAGTTCACCGGATCACCAGGTCAGCGGATCACCAGGTCAGCGGACTACCAGGTCACCGGATCACCAGGTCAGCGGACTACCAGGTCACAGGATCACCAGGTCACAGGATCCCCAGGTCGCCGCGCCGGATCCAAGAGTGGGCACTGGCCGGGCCGGGGTCACCGCTCGAGGTAGCCGGGTCGCCCGTACCAGCGTGGATTGGGTCAGCGACATTGCCCGTCGGCACCGCAGCCGACCTTGGCGCAACAGACGACTACAGCCTCGGCGAGATGGACGGGACAGCCAGGCTGGGAACACCGCAGCAGGCGTGTTTGACCTGTATCTGGTGCACCGACCAGAAAGCAGGGCGGTCTTTCATGGAGCCGGCATACGGCATGCGGCTCGCGAAGCGGAAGAGCCGCGCGTACGTCACGGACGGTACGAGCGGCATTCCGCGCACGCGAGCTGATCCACTGGATACAGCAGATCCACTGGATACAGCCGATACACTGGATACAGCCAGTACACTGGGCACAGCCGATACACTGGATACAGCTGATACACTGGATACAGCCGATCCATTGGATACAGCAGATACACTGGATACAGCCGATACATTGGATACAGCCGGTACACTGGGCACAGCCGATACACTGGATACAGCCGGTACACTGGGCACAACCGATACACTGGATACAGCCGGTACACTGGATACAGCCGGTACACTGGGCACAGCCGATACACTGGATACAGCTGGTACACTGGATACAGCCGGTACACTGGGCACAGCCGATACACTGGATACAGCCGGTACACTGGGCACAGCCGATACACTGGATACAGCCGACACACTGGATACAGCCGATATACTGGATACAGCCGACACACCGGATACAGCCGACACACCGGATACAGTCGATACACTGGATACAGCCGATACACTGGATAGAGCCGATACACTGGATACAGTCGATACACTAGATACAGCTGGTACACTGGGCACAGCCGATACACTGGATACGGCCGGTACACTGGATACAGCCGATACACCGTTGCGGTCACAATGCTACACGCCAGAATCCGATAGATGAACGACAGGACCACTATGCAGAAGTTGTCACTAAATGGGAGATCTAAAAGCATATGACAAGCTTCAATTGGACAAGTGTTTCGAGATTTACATGGCATCACCCGACGATAAGTCATCACAAAACAGCTGTAAGCGAGCGGCGAACCGGCGCCTGATGCGTCAGGTGCTGAGCGGACGGCGGACCGGCGCCACACGCACCAGGTTGGAGTGGTGCCTCCACTCGCCGGTCTCCGGGTTGACCCGATACTGGGGCAGCAGCTTCCAGCCGTGCTCGCTCACCAGCCTGCAACAGCCGAGCGGGGTCAGCAGCGGTCCCTGCTGCCAGCCGACACAGGCGAACACCTCACCAACTGATGGTCAGTCATCAGTCATCAGCAGCGGTCCACCGCTTTCCTTGGGCAGCCGGGTCACGACTGCCGTAGGGCCCTGCCAAACACGCACGGACCTAAGTCTGGTGCGTGACCACGCCTTACCTCACACGGACCAATCAGCCCGCAGACATTGACGTACATAAGCATACATGCGTACTGATTGAGGTGAGCAGGCACAGTAGAAATCCAAACCCAACTGACCTAACAGGCGTGGTTGACAAGTCGCTTCGTTTTCATCGAAATATTTCATGACGATATATAACTGACCTAAGGGTCGTGATGATGTCATCCAGCTCGTCCCCCGGTAGCCGAGTGCGACGTCGCGTGACTGACCTGAGGGCAGTGATGACGTGCTCCAGCTCGTCCTCCGACAGCAGGTAGCTGAGCGTGACGCGCGTGAAGCCAGGCCGCAGCAGCTCGTACGAGGAGTACTCGCCCTGGCGCCGCAGGTGGGTCCGGTCCAGCCGGCTGCGAACGACACACACACACTGAAATCCCGCTGGGTGTTGAATTACCAGGCACTCGCTGAAAAGGCAAAAATCCCCCCCCCCCCTCAAACAAACAAAGAAAGAGCTAAAACGAACTTTGGGTCCCATGAAGAAATGAAAAAAATATGTAACATGACACAATGCGAGAGCAAGGTGACTTCCGGCCATTTCAGGCACAACGACGTAGATCTTTCTTCGCAACTTAACACACTGTGGTTAGCCTTGTCCCTCGGGGATCACGCTACCCAGGTGCCAAGCTGTCTCCTGGTCACGTCTGCTGTTCTCACCTGTTCTCAGCGATGGTCCGCGTCTGTCGCGTCTGCTGTTCTCACCTGTTCTCAGCGATGGTCCGCGTCTGTCGCGTCTGCTGTTCTCACCTGTCCTCAGCGATGGTCCGTGTCTAGCGTCTGCTGTTCTCACCTGCCTAACGATGGATCGCACCGGCCACGTCTGCTGTTCTCCACCTGTCTCAGCGATGGCTCGCGTCTAGCGCGTCTGCTGTTCTCACCTGTCCTCAGCGATGGTCCGCACCGGTCACGTCTGCTGTTCTCACCTGTCCTCAGCGATGGTCCGTGTCTATCGCGTCTGCTGTTCTCACCTGTCCTCAGCGATGGTCCGCGCCTGTCGCGTCAGCTGTTCTCACCTGTCCTAAGCGATGGTCCGCGCCTGTCGCGTCTGCTGTTCTCACCTGTCCTAAGCGATGGTCCGCGCCTGTCGCGTCTGCTGTTCTCACCTGTCCTCAGCGATGGTCCGCACCGGTCACGTCTGCTGTTCTCACCTGTCCTCAGCGATGGTCCGTGTCTATCGCGTCTGCTGTTCTCACCTGTCCTCAGCGATGGTCCGCGCCGGTCACGTCTGCTGTTCTCACCTGTCCTCAGCGATGGTCCGTGTCTATCGCGTCTGCTGTTCTCACCTGTCCTCAGCGATGGTCCGCTCGTAGCGTTCGGCCAGCGCCTCGTCGATCCCCAGCAGGTCCTGGGCGTAAGGGCCGGCGCATGCGCACCCGCCGCGCGTCTGCACGCCTAGCAGGTCATTTAGCAGCGCCGCCACAAAGTTGTGGTGCAGGAAGGCGCCGCTGGGTGTCGCCACCAGGAAGGAGAAGATGGGCAGGCGCGGGCAGGACGTGGCGCGTGGTCCCAGAAGCACCAGCTTAGGCATGGAGCGTGCCTCACGCAGGAACCGGCTGCCGACGGAGAGGCCGCCGGTCACTGGCGGCCGGGGGGCTGGGCGTGTGTGAGACGGAGGGCGGCACGGACTCGAGCCGTCGGCACGGGATGACGTGATCTCGCAGGGTTACCGGTGTACTAAAAGCTTTGCTCCGGCCGTTATTCCTGAGAAGGCCTACGGACGGCCCTCGTTCTGGACCAAGCCATGCCCTGGCTGGGTTTCCTCTGCACGTCAAGCATCGGCGTCGAGCCAGGATGGCTGCCGCCTCACTCCATCACCTCTGGTTGCTTCATATCACAGTTCTGAGACGCCTTTCGTTTAAGGCCGAGCGAGAGAGAGGGGGCAGAGAGAGGGGGACAGAGAGAGAGAGAGAGGGAGAGAGAGAAAAAAACGAGAGCGAGAGAAAGAACAAGAGCGAGAGAAGCTAACCTAACCAAACCCCAACGTTTCATACTCATTTGAACACGGCAGCAGGGTCTTCAAGCTTGATCGACCCGGGTTAAAGTGCATCGGCCTTCAGATGAATATCAAGGCTACGGAGACAAGCTGATACAGGGAAACCTTAGTCGGTTCATCTTGCTTTGGTCAACGCACACACAGACCGGCCGTCTTCATACGGCACATTATCACCGACTTCCGGACCGTCACTCTGACGAAAAACACAATCAAACGCATCTCAAAGCTGCGACACACGCTCCCTGATAGCACACTTCATGATGATGTGGCCACCTCAATGTTGACGGAAGGTGTCACCGAGCCTCCTGGCCAACTCTGAGCTTGGGTCAACATGACGTTTTTACCGCAAATCCAACACGTCAGCTTCACTTGTGTCAACACTGCCGAAGTTGGCAACGGCTGAAGCGGGTCGAAGCGCTCGGTGACGCAGGGTGAGGGGGGGGGGGGGAGACTACATTCCATCACATGGGAGGCGGTAGCTCGGTGCTGGCAATCCATTCCACAGATTGTGAACATATGCAGCTATATATCCCGGCGGATAGGCGTGATCTGGTGCTGGCCGGCTCACCTGACGATCGCATCGTCCCAGAGTCGAATCTGCTCCGGGCCGAGCGCCTCCTTCAGCTGGAGCACGAGGCCGGCCCGCACCGCCTCCACGATAGCCGGTGTGCCGGCCTCCTCCCGCGCCTCCACGTTCTGCCAGCGGCCGCGTCGCGTCACAGCACGGCGGCACTGCACACGGCGGCACGACACGGCGTCGTGGCACACAGCGTCACGGTACGGTGTCACGGCACACGGCGTCACGGCACACGGCGTCACGGCACGGCGTCACGGCACACGGCGTCACGGCACACGGCGTCACGGCACACGGCATCACGGCACGGCAAACGGCACACGGCGCACAGCACGGCGTCACGGCACACGGCGTCACGACACACAGCGGCACAGTACAGCGTCATGACACGGCGTCACGTCATGACACGGCACTGACGCCCGCATGGCCTGGTCAGAGCGGGACACAAGCCGGCGTAAGCCATGACGTTCGATCACACACAAGCCGTGTTGCTTTCATGGGCGGGAGGGCAACGCCATCAACCAGCTCATGGGCAGGCACGCAAATTGGCCCCTGTCATGCACAGCTTGGGGAAAGTATTCATACCAAGGACAGTGTCACACCCACACGCAGCTAACGTGGAGGGAACCACCAGCGGCCGCTGTTCCGTACCAACACACGCTCCCATCGCGCACAGCCTCCGTCCGGCAGAGCATCTGTAGCGACAGACGCGGGCGCGACGCCGCCGTACCTGTAGGTAGCGGTGCTGGTCGCGGCGCACAAAGAAGACGGTGCCGCCGCCGCCGCCGCCGTCCGGCACCGGGTTCCGCACCAGACGCGTCTTCACCACCAGAACACCTGCCGCCGGCGGCGAGGCGGACCGTCACCGGCTGACGCGCCACACAGGCCACGGGACACGCCAGGCACGACCACAATCCAAGGCCAGGGAAACGGTGGGCACATTGTTATCTATTCAAAAGCGCCGATCCTTCGTCTATGGTGTGCTGACCACGCAATGAATGTTGACATGTGTGGCACGCACACAGTGGCATTCCACATGACGTCATAATTATTACCGGGTTCTGGTCATTACTGGGTTCGAATAATCACTCCTTCACCACCCATTCTGCATCTTCGATATGTTCGCCCCCTCCCCCTCCCCCCCACGTCAGTTGGTAACGAGTGCAACGCGGCAAAACAGTGTTGGAAAACTTGACGTGTCCAGGTATAATGTATGCCAGAAGATTTTGTACTCCAGGATTGTGGCCAGGTAAAATGACATATGTTGTACTTCATCATGGTGCAACAAAAACATTTTTTTGAAGAAAAAAAACTCACTGTATCTCTCTGTTTCAGGACAAAATTAAACCAGAAGATGCAACAGCTTGAGGCTTGCTGCTTCCATCATGAGCCATGTATTGATATCTGCAAGAGCACAAATCTTGCGCCTACCAGACTAAGACGCCCAACAGCAAGCAGCCTGTGTTGCCACCAATGTATAAGATTGAGCATGTATGGAAATGTGAAAAATAAAGTGTGAATGTTGAATTAAATTGCCTTTGAACAACACTGGGAAATGAGAAACGAGCACCAGAATAGCACCAGTCTGTAGATTTGCAAAGCTCTCACTTCCTACGCCCTACGCAGACCAACTCAAACTTGAATATAACTTAACCTACCATTGACGACGAACCGCATTTATTGCCAAGGATGCAATGAACGGTCATAGAAAACGACGCAACCAAGCACCTACCACAGACGGCCGCTTATTCACGCGCAACCACTGTGTTATGACAATGCAAATAAGAGAATCACTCGCAATTCAGTGTTGGAAACGTCTCAACTATTCGGCGCCTTGCGCCCACCTCCCAGCTCAGGTTGGAGGTTAAACATAGCCCAAATCTCCAACTGGTTTTGATAATTCGCCTGCTGGTGACTGATTTGTCAAGAGCATAAATATTCTGCTCGCGCTCATGCCTTGAACAGATTTGTAAACATTTGGAGGGAAGCTGTATAGAGATGGGTATCACGATTATGACGAAGGACTTGCATTGACCTGTACGCGAACTCTCTTAGGTCAAAGTTTGAAGTTACTAGATCATGACCTTCGGGTAAAATAAGGTAACACAAGGCCAAATTCCAAGATTGGTCTCCAAAGGACCAGTAGAACCTAGGCAACTGTTCTAAGAAAATGCTACACGCGCAGTTAAGGTAAGTGACATTGTTTGACCTTTAAACACACGCCTGGGTGGCCGGCTGGATACCATTCGCTCGGGTGGAGGCGGTCAATTTGACCCCCTCCTCAGATCCCGGGAACTAAGAGAGCTACAGACACCAAATTCACAGGGTGTGTTGACCTGTACGTGAACTCACTCAAGTTAAAGTGTTAAGTTCCTAGGTCATGACCTTCAGGCCAGATAGGGCAAACAAGGTCAAATTTCAGGTTGTCTCCAAAGGGCCCCTAGAACTAGGCAACTGTTCTAAGAAAAATGTTACACGCTCAGTTAAGGTCAGTGACCTTTTTACCTTTTAAAGGTCACGAGGACCCAAAAATATAAGACCGTTCTGAGTTTTGCATCTGGATAAGCGACAAAGATTACGCTGGCAGTATGTTCCTGAAAACAAAACGTTGACCTGAGTCATTTTAGGTCCGTGACTTATTCTGACCTATACAAAGTCAATTGAAGGTATATAACGCGGTTCCTGCTATCAATATATTCGAAATGAGCACCAGAAACCAGCCCATACAGCAAGCCCTAGAGTAATAAAACAGGTTTGTTTTGACCTTGGTCTGACGTTCCGTCTGTTCCTAGGTCAATGCTATTCGTTAATTCAATTGTTTTGTTGCATAAGAGAGTATCCCAGAGATGTCTGGCTTCGTCCAACGAAGCCAGACATCGCTCGTTGTTTGATCGGATCCGACGATTCCCCGTAGAGGAACAGTGCCCTTCGCTGAAACCATGGCCTGACTTGACCTGTCCACAGGTCAGCGAACTTACAAGGGTATACACCTGAATTTTATATGTCAGACAATCCGCCGTTTCAATTGTCTACAGACACCATCCCAAATTGCGCGCTGGCTACGGGTCCGGCCGTTCGGAAATCCTTCCGGGAATCCCTTCCGGGAGGGGGGGGGGGGGGGGGCTCAATTTGACACCTCACCCGAATGCGTGTTAAGGGTGTAAATGGTGAAATAGGCTGGTAAATTCAGGCTTTATAGAAATATAATTTTAAGGCACGAAAAGGTTGCTAGTAAGGGCAAAAAAAAAACGTTCAGAGACAGCCATCTCACTCCGGCAAAAACACCAGAACACCAGAGTAACACGAACCCATAACTTTGGTCCTGCAAGTTAAGAAGAAGGGTTTACTGGAACAAAACATCAATGAATTGGAACATAAATTATCCTATTTTTCAATGATATGGGTTACAGCGCATTAAAATCCATAAATACAGTGTATTGTCCGCAGGAGTCAGCGGAGTGACTGACTCCAATCCCTTTTGGTCGGCGTGGACGGGTCCGCCAGGCATTGCACTTGCGCTGGCTCGGTAAATCGGTTGAGAGTGCTGCCTGTCTCTATTATTCGGCTGGGACGTAAAGGGCCTCGTGTGTTATCCGGAAGGCAAAGGGCATGAATGTTAATCCGTTTTTAAAACCAGTTAGCTGGTAGATCGTGAGTAGCGTGACCGTGGTGGAGCGTGAGTGGCGCGATCATGGTGGAGCTTAAGTAGGTGGCCGTCTGTGGCACCTTCTTTGTATATTTATGCACCATTTTTCTCTGGCTGTGCGTATCGTAGCCATCCTCCATGTTGGAGGGTGCATACGCCCGGTGCGTAGCCACCCTCTATTTCTGAGTGTGTTTAAGCCCGGTGCGTAACCACCCGCCGTTTTGGAGGGTGGTTACCACGCACAGCCTGTCATAAACTGAAAACCCATATATCTACACCTATGCTTCTTAGCACAGAGCCTGAGACCGTGTTGTTTCAGCGTACCATGTTAAATACCGATGTTTCCTCCCATTACAAGTGTTTTTACATGAATTGCTGTACATGGAAAGTGGCGCTTTATTGAGTACCACCGAGTGTACTGCTATCTCTCAAAGATAGTCTAAATAAAATTGTTATGACCCACGGCACTCGGATATTTTTGCCGTGCACTATAGACAATTTGTACTCCGCTCCCAGGATTTTTTTTAATTTCCAACACTGCAACAAAGTGACGGTTGCCGGGCACGGACCGACCACTCGACACACGGTTGTGGATAACACTTAACGCGCTACCGACCGCGGCTTACAGTCACCTCACACATTGCAATACTCCAGCAACCCAACAAGCACATACTGACGCTAAAAGAACTGGACCGGCCGCTTGCTACATGCCACCGTCG